TTCAATCAATTGCCTAACAAAAATATTTGAACAACTTCATTACCATGGAACAGACTACTATTTTGGTTCAATCAATTGCCTAACAAAAATATTTGAACAACTTCATTACCATGGAACAGACTACTATTTTGGTTCAATCAATTGCCTAACAAAAATATTTGAACAACTTCATTACCATGGAACAGACTACTATTTTGGTTCAATCAATTGCCTAACAAAAATATTTGAACAACTTCATTACCATGGAACAGACTACTATTTTGGTTCAATCAATTGCCTAACAAAAATATTTGAACAACTTCATTACCATGGAACAGACTACTATTTTGGTTCAATCAATTGCCTAACAAAAATATTTGAACAACTTCATTACCATGGAACAGACTACTATTTTGGTTCAATCAATTGCCTAACAAAAATATTTGAACAACTTCATTACCATGGAACAGACTACTATTTTGGTTCAATCAATTGCCTAACAAAAATATTTGAACAACTTCATTACCATGGAACAGACTACTATTTTGGTTCAATCAATTGCCTAACAAAAATATTTGAACAACTTCATTACCATGGAACAGACTACTATTTTGGTTCAATCAATTGCCTAACAAAAATATTTGAACAACTTCATTACCATGGAACAGACTAAGTATTACAAGAAAAATGGCCATCAAAAAGTTTTCTCGACAGACAGAAAACCCATAAAACTTGTCATTTTTCGCTATGTGATTATCTCAGAATTACAAAACGTACGAGCTTGACTAACCTAAATCCTAATAAATAACGCTATCGGTATGTGTTTAACACCGATTCCACTCTATCTCTCTTCTGTCAATTTGGTTTAATTACCTGGACAATTAACAGAAAGAAATAGAATATCACAAGCCTTCTATTTCGTCTTGCCGAAACATGTGGAGAACATGTCCTGCGGTTTATTGGTTAATGTACTAAACTGAGGAGCCGCCCATCGACGAGAAAAAAATTGCCAGAGCTTCTACCTCAGGTGTATCCTAGCTTTAACGTTAAACGACTGGTAACGTTTCCTTCAAACCTATCCTACTTGGAGCTTTAATTTTGGTATAACGCAAAACCTTTAACAAACATTGAAAGTTCTTCGACTATTCAACGAAGTTATCACTCTGATATTTACATCTCCATATATCATTCTTACTATGTATGCACGCAGTAACATGAAGAAAAAAGTTCGATGACAAGGCCTCATCAGTCTTTTCTACCCCATATAAGGATCTCTTCCAATCACGAAGGTCTAAGCATTACTTGCCATCGACGCTCTTCGATCGTGCGGAGCATCTGCCGATTAAACAAATAATATGTTATCAACCCTGGAGTTCACTTCATTCATATACTGAAGAAACAATTAACAGCCTAAATTCTGATTCATAGGATCTATGTCTTAATCCTTACATCCCAAGATCTGATTATGAATTCTCCCCTCTAGCTGCTGCACATTTCCTTGTAAATTAGTTATGGGAATTTGGTGTTTGATCAAGTTAACAACTTTTACCTGACAAATTTGAGTATTCTTATAACCTGTTTGCTGGGTCATGAATGGATATCGTCGAGAGAAGTTACAAGTTGAGATGTAAGTTCAAAGGTTAAGATGTAAGTCAAAAGGTTTCTTTTACCTTAGTTTATTTTTTTTAATACTTGCTAAATTGTTGTACTCTACAGATATAAATAGTTTACCAAAAATTCAAATAATAGAAAACTAACCTGTACAGGCTTTGGACAGAACTTAAATAATTGCGGTCAATACACGTTGAAGTGGACATTACCAAGGTCTGTGATTAGCCAACGGAAGAAAGTTAAAGTCAACTTGAGCGAGTGTGAAGAAGCTTAATACTTGCTAAATATATCAATTGCAAATAGATGGCGTGACAGAGCCCTCTTTGCTTAGACGAAATCGAATTTCGTCTACGATCATGGGTAGCCTCTTTTGACTTCGGATCGAGTAAAAGGCATTAATTCGTTAAAACGCTTGTAGAATCTAAACATCACTGGAATAACTAGATTTTATTCCAAAAGGAAAGCAAAATGATAAAATTATGGAAACTGCGGTAAAGTGAAGCCATTGCAAAAATGGCTCGCTCATTCCCGAGACAGTGCTATCCTGAAGAGTCCAATGGAATCACTTGAGGTAGGAAGGGGCGGAAAGGAGGGGGAAGCATTTCAGGAGCTGCCAGGAATTTTCTGCTGCTTCGTTGGTAAAATTTTATGTTCCACTCACATAGACTGCCCAAGCATTAGTAACAAAATTGTCAACACAGCCATCAAACACCTGCGCTCGTGTGCGTGGATTCGTGGCGTGCTTAGAGGCTGTCAAAACCAAGTTGCATTACAAACAACCACACAAGCAAGTCGCGGTCTTCGAAAACCGTATTCTTGATAAAAGGTTAAAACGGAAAGGTAAATATGAACACGAAACCTGTTATCAAATAAGCTTTGTAAACAAAAAAATTTTGAGTTTTCCTTTTACAAATTTTCTGTGTAAGTTTCAATATTTCTTTGCATTTTTGCATTTGATTTTGTTTTCTAGTATGTTTACTTTTGAAATTTTGCGTGGGAAATTGACGCGCAGCATTGCGCACGATCGGCCAAAATTGGTCCCATTGCGCATGCCCTACGTTTGACCGCTGTGTTCGTCGCTGCTGTGTTCCCGAAAGCACGCCACTTAGTCACTAAATCGTTCGCACATGCGCAGACGTTTGACCGCTGTATTGACAGTACCGAACATCGATAACCAGCCCTCCTTCTGAAAAAGAAAAAAAAAAAAAAAACAGATTCGAAAGATGCAAAAAGTGCCTGGTCTGTACCCAGATGGACGGTTGTCCGTCTGTGCTGAGCCCAGTTTCACTTCTTGGCTCCACTAGTCCCCAGGCCTCTCCCCAACTCTAGCTGCATCCAAGCGGGAGAAACGTAAACAGCAAAAGTACATGGAGTCAACCTATTGTCGAGTTTGATTAATCTTGCCGGACTCAGTGTAGAAAAAAAAAAAAACGCAAATGCCAAAACATTTAACATTTCTTTCTAGAAGGCCGACGACGTGAAAGCTGGAGTAAATTTTGTAAATCACTGCTAAGTTTATTTCTTTTTTTTTTTTTTTTACAATCGTGAATTATCAAGATTTATTGAATAGCATGCAAAGAGATCAACATTAAAAAATATTATTTTCAATTTGTTTTTATTACATTATCATCATGTTATGACCATTGCAAAATCAATTTTCTGTTACCTACACATCTACATCCAGATCCAAATGACTTATCAGACTGAAATATTATCTCTGTTAAAGGACTGAAAGGTGAGAAAGTTATTCCAATAAGAAACCTTATTTAATAAAGAGATTAATTTTGAAATAAAGGTGATTGATCTATCACTTAGCCCTTTATTCCCTAAGAGAGATAGGCACAATAAAGGATATGATCACCGATTCATGCTCCTGATAGTCTAACGAATCCTTGTCAGAACCACAGGAGATGTAAAGAGAAAAGTATGGAGAATATAGACCACTTTCATAAATGGCTGCTGGATTAATATTCTTTTGTTTAAATTTAAATTAGCCCTTCTGGCTTCGCTTGAGATAATGTATTCTTTTGAATTTTGTACTGGAGAAAGAGGCCAGAAGGGCTAATTTAAATTTAAACAAAAGAATATTAATCCCGCCGCCATTTATGAAAGTGGTCAATTAATATCAGTGCTAGGGTGTAGAGAGTTAATTCAACCACAGTGCCTGCCTGCCTGTCTGACTGACAGAAATGCCGACTGACCCATTTCTGATTGAATGATGTAATTTCTATTAGAGTTATTTGTGGCAGTATATACTACACAAACGCGCTGATTAGCTATTTTAGGTGACTAGCAAGTACTGTTCACCGCTGAGCTGTCGAAGAGACAAAACTGCACCTCAAGAACTTAATTCACAACTATTTTTCTGTATATTAACAGAGACAAACATAATTTTTGGTTTCCATTTGGTGTATTATAATACAATTATTCCCTTCAGTGTCATTGAAAGTGGTGGGATAATTCCCTCCAGTTTTGGGTATATAATTTACAAATATTCCAAGTAAATATGAAATTAGTTAAACTCTTGAGATCTGATTGTTAAATCTCCTCTCTAGCTGCTCCACATTTCTTTGGAAATTAGTTACAAGAATTTAGTTTTTGATCATGATAACTTCTACCTGATGAGTTTGAGTATTCTCATTACCTGTTATTCTCATTAGCATGTTCATCAAAAGTGAGTTACAAGCATAAGCCATTAGGTAAAAGAATGCTTCAACTTAAATTAACAAAATGTTTTCACTCAAATAAAAAAAAAAGTTGTTACAACCACATCTAACTCGATCAGTCTGTAATTTGATTCCCTCTATTTTAATCCTGTAGTTCTATCTTATTATGCTTAATTTTCCTAGTTGATTAAAGAAGGTATTACAGAACTGCTCAGATTGTAGGAAGAAGATACAGGTGAATCACTTGTGAGAGTTTAAGGGTCTAAATATTTGTCAAAGCTCGCAGTTTAGGTAAGCCAATGTTAGTCTACAGAACAAGCATCATGTTTTAACACAATTAGGCAAGACAATGTCAGTGCAAAGTAGAAGTCACACACAATTCATTGCTATGGCATTCTGCCTGTTGCATGTGAATTGCACCACCCCCCCCCCCTTTCCATACTCTAATCTCAAAATTATCTCCACTTGACTGACAATGTGGAAGAATGATGACTGTTTTGCAGGCTACAAGACAATTGAAGATATTTGATTCATGTTTTCTTGTGGAGATCATGAGTACAACCTTATACTGAGAATCAAAATAGAGTTTTGCTGTCAATATTTTGATCCATACCAATATAATGAGCCGTATTTAGATTTCTCCCACTTTGGGTAAGACAACCCTCTAACTCCAAGATCTGATTGGTAATTCTCCCCTCCAGGTGCTACACATTTCCATAGAAAATAGTTCTCAGAATTTGGTGCGAGATCAGTCTAGATAACAACTTTCTCCTTAAAGTTTGAGTATTCTCATCACCTGCTTGCTGGATAATGTATGGATATTACAGAGAAAGGTTAGATATCAATCACTTCTGGGAGTTTAAGGGGTTAGGCAAAACTACATCACAACAACAGTGGCCAAAATCTTGGCAACACACGTCAAGATAGTGAGCCTTACAACTCTTTTAGGTCACACATAGGAAACACTTGCATACTCTGTGTCAAATCTACTTCCAGCAATATTTTCTTCTAATGGAGTCTCTGTTGTTATTCCAATAAAATCGTCATGCTTACCTATCGACTCTGCGTCAAGGTTTGGCAACACAATCTTCTCTGCACTTCCCAATGTTCCATTGTTTTCAGTTGTTTTATTTTTCCAGTACAAGTTTTCCACCCAGTAGTAGATCTCCACTTTTCTGGTGACATAAATCAACAGATATGCACTCATGAACAAGGCAAATGAAGACAGCATGTGCCAGAGGTCATGGTAATCGAAGAAGTCCCACAAGATGCATTCTTCATTGCGAGTACGTGAGAAGCTTGGTGCCGAGGTTTTCTTTGTGGTTGACTTGATCTTGAAAAAGTACATGGCGAAAACCCAGAAGAGGAAATTCACAAGCATGAATAGCAAACGATGCCAGTTGCTCCAAAGGAGCTCAAAAATTTGGCTTAGGCTGCAAAGCTGTTTCATCCCACTCCAGCAATTTCCACCAACAGATCTATGCCTCTTAAAAGACACTGCCACATCAAAGCTCATCAGGCCAACAATACTCAGGGCCACTGCAGCCACACATGAAAACAAGAAAAACTGAGACCAGTCATCTTTCTGTTTAAAACCAATAATCAGCAAGCAGAGTGGGAATACAATTATCCAGGTCCACTTTACAAAAGCTTCCACTGACCAGCATTTCTCATCATTGCTGCAGTTCTTCCATCTGCATGGCACACCAACTTTCTTGAAAGTCCACATATACATTACCACCAACCAAAAAACCAGAGCAATCCAGTATGCAACTTCAACAAATTGTGGAAGACCATTGGTATCCCGCACTGAACCAACATAGTTAAACACCAGCAATGGCGCCACAAAGAACAAGAAATACTTAGGTGCCTGGACTGTTGTTTCACTGGATTTTGAAGATGCTTCATCTGCATCTAGTAGAGATTCACTTCTTACACGGCAGTTGTAAAGAGCAATCACAACTAAACCTGAGATTATAAACATGAAAGCAGAATCAAACTGAAACGTGAGTCGAGAAGGACAGAGATGATAGGTGGCTGAAAACAGACCTTCAAAGACCAATGCCCATGCCAGGGCATATGCCACAGAGTAATCATATGGTCTGAAATGTTTGGCACATGCCCCTCTCATAACATACTTGTGACCAGATTTATTGACATCAAAAGTGATTGCTTCCCTAAGAGAAAATGACAAGGCCAAGAAGATACCGTGAATGACATAGGGAACATTGCTAAGCATGAAATTAGAAGGAAGGTCAGCTACAGCAATTGGTCGATAACAAAGCTCGTTGTAATAGCAGAGATCGCGATTTCCTTCTTCAATCATGTTTGACCAGCGCGCAATCACAAACTGGGCCGAGCCAACCATGAAACTGATAGCAAGAACTCCAGTCAAGTAGGGATATGTCTTTATCCCATGTTTAAACCATGCAAAGCTAATAATTTGCAGCCATCGTTTCAGTGGGATTGTTTTCCATGGTAATGGCTCTGGAACATGTTTTATGATGCCCTCGCTTGGCACCCTCGCTCTTAATTCAGAAGCAGTATTCTCCAAATGAAAAGGAGCCTTGCACTTCTCAAAGTCAGAGTTAAGAAAGAAATGGGCAAAAATGCTTATGGCAAGACCACCAAATATGGTAATAAGGCACATGTACCCAGCAGGAAGTGCTTTTCCAAGGGTATCATACTTATACCCCTGAGTCACAGATACTGTCACCACCTTCGGTTTGATGCTATCTCTTTTAGTGAAGGAGCTGCGTAGTCCAATATACCAGCGTCCTGTCATAATTTTGGGTCTTGAATACTGAGATAAAGTGATGCGTCCAGAATTTGTAAAGGTGAGTTGAATTGCTTGTTTTCCTTCATCAGAGCTCTTTTCCGCAAGGCCTTTACTTTGTGTTGCAAAACAGCTCTGGGACACCACCAAGACACATTCCATTTCAGCATCAACTGATGAGACAGTAATTTGAAATAGTCTCGAAAGCTGATCCTCTGTAATGTCAAATGCTTTGACTTCAGTTAAACCGTCAGAGCGAACAGAAACATCTGTTAATTCACCAGGAGCTAACACTGAGTTATCCAACTCAACCTCTAATTTAAAAGATTCATTTGCAGGAGCTCCGAAGAACAGTAGTTCAAGATCCATGGCACTTACAGACTTGTGCATCAAAGACTGAGGGCAGGCGTGGAAGTGAAACTCTTGTACATGCTGCGAGTCATTGCTCTGAGCTACCCCTACAAACAAGACATTCAAGTTTTCAAGAACCATAGAGTAGAGTGCACTAATGTTGCTTGAAGAATTAAACCCAGCTAATGTCACACGCATGATAGCTGATTTGCTGCGGCCCTTCACATCACATTTCCTTGCATTTTTGAAGTGTGAGGTCAACGAACCATTCACTGTAACTTTGTTGTTTGTCAAGTAAAGCGAACTGCCAAAGTCGCAGAGTACTTGGAAAGATGATTGGTTGCTTGCTGCAGAAACATCCTCTAGAGTAGTAATGATGAACAAAATCAAGCTGAAGTATTCAAAGAGGCCCATTATCTAACCTAAAAAAATAAAAAAAAATTCTCTACATCAGGATCTGACAATTCTTGTAATAACAACCTAAATAAAGCTATTAATGAGGGCTGCTAAGAGTACACCAGATTTGAACATTTGGTGATTACAAAGTTATTTTATTGTACAGACCGGGATCTTCAAGAGGTTGGTTCGAAGGGTTTATACCAATGGTATGATTAACTCCTTTAACACCCAGAAGTGATTAATCTGCAACTTCTCCCTATAATATCCACACATTATCAAGAAAACAGGTAATGAGAATACTCAAACTTATCAGGTAGAAGTTGATACCTTGATTGAACATAAAATTCTTGTAACCAATTTACAACGAAATGTGTAGCAGCTAGATGGGAGAATTCATAATCAGATCTTGGAAGTTAAGGGGTTAATAATCAATGGTAATAAGACCAAATGGAGTCCAATTCTGTCTGTAATCATACGAGTATGATAATTACGGACAGAATTGGATGGCACAAAGTCCTGTTACCAATTAACCATAACCATAACAATTTCCAGCTCGGATTTGTTCTATAACAATTTCCGAAAAAAAAAAAAAAAAAAAAAACTTAATTTGAGAAAATATCTCTGGTAAAGACATTGTCTAAAGTAAGAAATTCCTCCTCTTTGGAAATTCTCCTGGCTGCGGTTGTTCGAAAGGGGGAATAATGCTATCCAATGGATAAATCGCTATCCAGTGGATAAGTGTTTACAAAATATACTGCCCTATCCACTGGATAGAGATTTATCCAGTGTATAGCTTTATCCATCCTTTGAACAACTGGGGCCTGGTTCGTAGGGTAAGTGGTTGTTGCTATGCTACTGTAATTAATTTTGTGAATGGTGGATTTAGCTGTGAGGAGTGGGTATGCATATGATTGGTTGTTTTAACTGTCCAATTGCTTTAATATTCATTTCTTAATTCCCAGTTCACTAGCTTAATATATGATTTTCACATTATGGGTTTATCACAAACCAACATAATGACCAGCTACCAGTTGGCTAATTAGCGTAATTGAAAGAGCACTGCACTGGTATCGCAGAGATCATGGGTTCAAATCCCACACAGGGCTGAATTTTCTTCAGGCATTATTTTCACTATGGCTCAAGTAGTGAAACAAAGATCACTTAAAGTGCACCTCAACCCAAAATTTTTTTCCGCTTAACGAAATAAGCTAATTTTTTGGAGTATTCCTGTGCAAAATTTTTTTTATATGCTCAAACCTTTCATTTTCTGTGCCCAGTCAAAATATGGAAAATCGGCCACCATCTTGCCCCACGACCGAGTTTAAAGAGGAATGGCTCTAGCGGGTAATGTGACGTCAAATCGAGAACACGAAAGTCTGCATTTCACACATTTTCACTTGTTTGGGAAGGTTGTCGTCGATACTGTCCGAAATATGCCAACTAGGTGTGTTGTACGAGGAATGTATGAAGCACGATGCCCTCTTGCAAATTTCGCACGTTGCTACATCCTCCTACCACACACTTAGTTGGCATATTTTCAGACAATATGGACACAACCTTTCCAAACAAGTGAAAATGTGTGAAATGCGGACTTTTGTGTTCTCAATTTGACGTCACATTACCGGCTAGAGCCATTCCTCTTTAAACTCCGTCATGGGCAAGATGGCGGCCGATTTTTCATATTTTGACTGGGCACAGAAAATTAAAGGTTTGAGCAAATAAAAAAATTTTGGCACAGAAATACTCCAAAAAATACGCTTATTTCATTAAGCAAAAAAAAATTTTTGGGTTTAGGTGCACTTTAATGATATTCATTCTTAACCTGCAGTTCACATATATGATTTTCATATATTCATAGGCATTTGTCCAATTACAGGTATCCAGTTACAAGTATCCAATTACAGTCTGATCACAACCCTACGGAATAATTAGTGAAAAATAAAGCTGCTAAAACACCAATCACATTTGAGGAAATTGTAATAGTTATGATTAAGGCCACAATTAAAATGTAATGTGAGAATTTTAAAAGAAAGGCAAGAGTGATTTGTGAATTTATGAACCAGTAAAAAATTTGTGAAAACCTCAAGACTTCACTGAAACCTTGTACACAAGAAGAGAGTCTTGTAGTTTTCCCTTTGGTAAATGTAATGCATTAATTTTTCAAAAATTTGTGCATGAAACAGAATCAGGACCTTAGCTTCCTTTACAAGCCTCCTTCATCAATGTAAAATCATACTGATAATGTCTCAGAACAATTCAAATGCCCTGTAAGATAACTCCAAATGAAAACTAACTTGAAGGTTATACTGTATTTTGACATTTTGCTTAAATTGTACATTGTGAGTTGAGAGATTCATCAACATCACTATTTAGAGTGAGGTCAGTAACTGAGGTATCACCACATCACAAAACATAGTATGAATAAAAATTTTTTTGTTGTCACTGACTAAAAAACTGTGTGAGGACGTTTTGGTTAAAATACTATAACCTTCTTCAGCAATAAAATGGCTATGAAAACAAATGAGTGCTTTAAAAAGAGCCGCTCAAACGTAACTTGAGATTGCCAAGGGCCTTGTAAATGTCAGCAATGTAAATATGTTCATTACTGGATTCAGTTAACAAATTGAGTACCACACTTCTAAAAATAATCTTTTCAACCATTGGGAACAGCAGTCAATGATCTTGACATCCTCAAGATCAAAATCATGATTGTATTTTATACAATGTTGGGTTAATAAAGAATTTCTATCTCCGGTGAATAGCGCTCTCTTGTGTTCTATAATCCTGGATCTTAAGGCTCTTGATGTTTGACCGATATAAACTTTGCCACAATCTTTCCATCTGATTTTATGGATCACTCCTGTCGATAAGTCTTTACTAAATTTGTCTTTAGGTTATTTTAAAATGGAGCCAACAGTCGTAAGGGTTTGTGGGCAACATTGATATTGAATTGATTTCAAGTTCTTGCAATTTTTTCTGAAATTCCTTGAAGATATGGCAGGGTGACAAAACGTCTGTTGGTTTGAGACTGATTTGTAGCCCCAGTGGTGCTTTGGCAGCTTCTAATAAATTGTTCGGTGTAACCATTGATCTTCAGCGCGTCGACCACGTGTTGTGTTTCAGATAATCTGTCTGCTCTTTGCTCTGTCGAGAAGGGTTCTAGCTACTGAGCCTTTGTGTTGAGAAGGGTGGTGAGAGTTGAATTGAAGGTATTTGTCAGTGTGTCTGGGGATACCATAATTAATTATGGTATCTTTCGATGTGGTATCCCTCTTCACATCTATACAACAACTTTGGGGCTCGAGGTGACTAAGAACAGACTTGAAGCTGATACGACCACCTCGGAAAGAACAAACATGTCTGTTGACAGCATCATGAATTTGCTCGAATTTGTACTTGATAACAACTACTTCATCATTGATGGCACTTTCTACAAATAAATATTTGGCTGCCCAATGGGCTCACCTGCGAGTGCAATTTTGGCAAATTTGGTTATGGAACATGTTGCAGAGAGAGCTTTAGTTACCACACCCCACCCTCCTAAGTGGTGGTATAGACATGTTGACGATAGCCATGTCTGCATTGCTCGTGAACATCTTACAGAGTTCCACTCCCACCTTAGTTACAGAAGTGTCTTTTCTGCAGATACTTTGACGTGCCTAACCCAGTCGTCTTTCTGCGATTCATTGTTGGAGAGTAGGGCTCTTTCCCTGATCATTTTGACCTTGAGGAAGTCAAGAACATTGACTGCTGTTTCCAATGGTCGAAAAGATTATTTTTAGAAGCCTAGCATTCAATTTGTGAACCGAATGCCATTAATGAACATATTTATATTCGTGACATTTACAAGGCCCTTGGCAATCCCAAGTGATGTTTCTGCAACTCTTTTTAAAGCACTCATTTGCTTTTGTAGCCATTTTATTGCTGAAGAAGGTTATAGTATTTTAACCGTAACGTCCTCACACAAAGATTTTTAGTCAGTAACAACAAAAATATTTTTATTTATTATTATGCCCGACTAAAAACATAGTATGCCCTAGGCATACTAAAACGTCCAAACCACAGTTTGTTAAAAACAAATTTAATTAGCATAGATTAAAAGAAATTGACTCGATAATGGCATAAAATTTCGCTACCTTTCAGTATAACAATTTAAGGAATTCTAATATACGCAGTTCAGTCCACAAAGGGAAACACACAATATCTGACGACTACAGCTAAGCTTACGGCTTTCAAACAACAAACGTCGCGTTTTAACAAAGTATAGTTACAGATCTTTGTAATCCACTACTCAAAATAGTATTTTGCCTCGCGGTAAAGACTAATTTAGAAATAAATGGTAAAAGTTCAGTGATTCAACTCACATTTATAAATCGTGATAGTTGTAGAAAGAAGAATGATACTTCTTTGAATCTCCTGATCCGACAGAGGTAAAAATAAAAGGTTTTCAGCTTATTTAATCGGCCAGACACAACGGCGAGCTGAACGATGGTGAACTACAGCGACATGATGGATAAATTATTAATGCTATAAACAGCTTGAACTGTTTCGTAAGGCGGGTGATTTAATGATTTAATGTCGCAACCGAAGAGCAAAGAATGTAGAGCAATAAGATTACGACCAGGAACTTGTCATTTCTGAGAATCGATCAATTACGAATTATATTTCCGCATGCACATTGTGCACATTGCGTTACACGCATATTACAGCTAAATTAACGAGATCTTTGCCACGTACCAGCAGAAATGAAACACAGACCTACACGTCTAAAACCAAAAATTTAAGCTATGGAAGAGGCAGCTGGATTGAAAACCTTACAGTGAAATTTACGTTGCTTTGATAGAGCTAAATCCTTAAAACTCTGGCTATATATTTTTAGCACAGAAGTTAGCACATGTGTTCTACACTTGTTTAGTGTGCATGACGCCGCAATATCGTACTTTTGTCTCCAAAATAAGTTATGCAAAAAAGGTAGAACTTATTGATATCAATATAGAAGTTAACACTTACCTCAAATCATGTGAAGAAAGATCAAATGTAATATTACATCAAGTTACTATCAAGTCAAAGTGTGACAAATTCTGAAGATGATTCAAGGAGCGCACAAAAATCTCGGCTTTACCACAAAGAAAAAGAGATTTTGATTTCAGTCAGCCATTTGTAGGCTTGAAAGCAATATCACATTTCGCGTGACCGTCTGGCCTTTAAAAGTAATCGCATTACCACCTCCAGCATCCACATAAGAGTCGTTCGAATGTGCTGCCCCCAGCAAATTTTTATTCTCGCTTACAAAGAACTATGGGTAGGAATTTTTCTGGCACGAGGAACTAAATCCTTGCGATCTTCAGCTAACGTGCAGTGAAAAGAGTACCAAGATTGTATGCATATCCTTTGGGAACTCTTTTTTTGCTTTTTTCAATAATTTGTCATCGAACTGCCAGTTTAGAAAAAAATCGACAATATACGTTTAGAGCTAACAAAGAAAAACTGTCAGACTTTCGTCGCCATTGCATGTCTCGTAGGGAAAACCCCGGGAGTCCTCGACACACCCCTAAAAAAAACCCCGGAAAGCTGACAGGTACGCAAACGAATTTTAAAATAACACAACATAAAGACATAACATATTTACAAAGAACCCCAGGAGACTGAATAGTCATCTGCTGAAAGCGAATAATCTGACAGCTAGACGACACATTCTATAATTTTTCATATGTAAGACCATGTAAGAGCCCGGATTAGGTCTTGAAAGATTATGCTTGTAAAAGTAGCATATTATGCTAGTAGCATTCCTTTTTTTGGCGAAATTATTCTAAAATTATGCTATTTTTTCCAAATCTTGCCCCTTTTTTTTAAAATTATGCTCTTTGGAAAAATTGCAAATAAGTCCAAAAACTACATTTTTTTAATTAGAACTCGTTGGTCAACAAGAAAGAAACGCAACAAATCCACAATGAAATTCAAATAAACATGTGGTTCATGTTAACATGCACACTAGTACTAGACTAGACATGGCCTACAATGTGACTTCCGGTTCCGGTGCACCCCAGACCCAGGCTCAGACCGTTTCAGACGCCGCTCAGTGATTCACAGTGAACTACAAATGCTACTACTTGAACTAAAACTTAAAACATCGAATAACGTCACCTAGTGCTTGGGAGTAAAGATGAATAATGTTCAAATTGTAGCATAAAAAATGATCCCGTAATTATCAAAATATGCGAATTATGCTAGCATTGCTACTTGGCAGAAATTATGCCAGTTTGCTCAAATTATGCCAAAAATTATGCTAGCATAATATATAAAGGCCTCGCCCGGACGCACTAGGCAAATTTTTGTGTATTTTGCGAAAAAAAAA